ATATTATGCGATATATATATATATATATATATATATATATATATATATATGTAAATTTATTACAAATCAAAATATTTTTCGTTTCTTTCAATATTAGTATTCTTAAAATCAAGGAATATTTTTTGTAGTATGTTTATTTTACTTTTTAAAATAAAATAAATAAAATAAAATCATTTGAGAGAACTAAATAAATTTTAATTCAAATGTAAAATTTAATACCGATAAAACAATATATTTATTTATGAGTGATACAATGTCAACAATCACATGTGAATTGTATAACCTAATTTTAGTCTATATCATATAATAATGTATAATACATACAATAATAAATTATAATGAAATCATTTGTTCAATATCTTAATTGAATAATTTTTTAAAAATTTCTGATGTGTAAATAAAAATACGTAATTTTTGTTCATTTAACATTACTTTCAACGTCAAGTCAAGTTATATACTGTGACTACAGACGAGGTCACCGAAGAGATATATAAATAGACCAAGCATCTTACGGGGTTTCATGGTCCGTGATCTGAAATACCGACATAGTAAAAAAATCACTGGTTTTTCAGCGCACTCTACGTTTAAATAACGGTGAGTTGGGGAACTAGTGAATGCGCCAGCAATATGATTTTTGAGACCCATTATAGTTTTGTCAAACTTTCAATACCAAAATGTAAAGCTCGTCTGTGACTATACCAAACAAAATGTTTAATTGTATCTCCAGATTCCAAAACATGAGATTAGTGTCTAAAATTATTCCATTTTTTTATTATGTATTTATGTCTGTGTCGGAAAGCGCTCTATTCGTGTCTTACGAATTTATCCATTAGTTTTTTGTTGGAAACAATAAAATTAATACTTACAACAGGATGTTTTATTTATTGAAATATTCATCAAAATCCAAAGTCTAAGAAACCCATTCTTGCCCCATCCACCTTTCTTTTACTTTAAAACAAATTTATTCAACTAAAATGAAAAAAAAAAAATGAAACTCCTTTTGATATACGATTGTAAAATATTCACAATTTCTTATAAAACGAACAGCAAAAGGAATTTTAAGAAAAAACCAATGAAAGGTAAATAAAAGCACAATATATTCGAATACAAATCAAAGCTTAAGTTGAAAATAATTATAACTAAGTTATAATAAGTAAGGAGGTAGGAATAGTTGGGAGTAGGAATAGTTGGAGATGGGGATAGCTCAGTCGGTAGAACATCAGACTCTTAATCTTGAGGGTCCAGGGTTCGAGCTCCCCCTGTTCGGGCGAAAAAAAAAGCATTTGTCCTTTAGGACAACAGCACGGGAGAGCTGCTGTGTTTTAAAAAGATCTTGGAGCTCTCTGAACGTGCGGAGGAAAGGAATTTTTGGCCATTGTGGTGGAGGTCTCTTAGTCGGTAAGAATCCGACATTACCCTGGGTCCTTCCCTTAAAAGACTCAGGTGTCTTATGAAGATTTCCTCCTCTACGTAAAAAAAAAAAAGTTATAACATGTAAAATACTTAAAGAAGAAATAAAAATATTTCACATATATTATAGCAATAAGCGTATCATTCTACAGAATGCTCTGACAGTGAATTTATAGATACATATCAATTATCTTGTAATTAACTAAAACTAAACGCACGCATCC